ATGATGGAAGACCTGGTTTATATGCTAAAATGAAACCAAACCAGACTAAAGAAGAACATGAAGGACAGGTGGTCCTTTCTACACTAACAAAGCATGTGGAAAAAAAATCAACATAGGTCATGTGATCATGCATAAAGAATAATCATTCTTTTAATAATTTCATTAATATAGAAACTATGTTGTTCTCTCTTACAGCCATCAGGGAGAATGCTGCTTCTAAATTCTGTGACATCTAAAGCCAAAATGGAAAGTGAAATGTAATATGTCACATTAAACTGGCAAGCTCATGAATATTTGTCCTGTTAAGGACAGTGTGACATACAAGAAAACCATAAAATATATTTTTCTCTCTTGGATGCAACATGCATTGGAGACCAGTGATGTGTGGTTTTTCAGTCCAAGAGGGCTAAGCACGGTTCAGAGAGGAGAGGCAGGGATCCGGGTGGACAGAGTGGGCAGACAGGCACTGAGGCATCTGTGATAGGGTGGACTGAGATAGGCTTAGCAGAGGAGAATGGCAAGAACAAAGTCATGATCACAACCGCATCATCACTACCAGTGACATGTGCATGCAGGAGGCACACAGCATTGCACTGACCTGATGCAGTGGGCTTTATGTGCAGACAGAGCTTGCTTTAAATTCAGCATAAGCCTTGGAAAAACAATAGAACCACTTTGGCCTTCCATTTCTCCATCTGTAATAAGAATAAAAGTTACCTAAGGGTTGTGAGGAGGTTGAGTGAGAAGAGGTCTAGAAAGCCCTTGGGATGCATTGGAAACATAGTCAACATGCAATACTATTTAGATCTCAATTATTCTTATATAAAAATAGTCATGTGCGGCTGGGGTAGATCACTCAGCAGTAGATAGCTTGCCTAGCACATGCGAGGCTCTGGGTTTAATCCTCAGCACCACTTAAAAGTAAATAAATAAAATACAGGTATTGTGTCCAACTACAACTGAAAAATAAAAATAAAAATAGTCACATGGATGACCAACCAAGCGTTCCACTTGCTCATGAGTACAATAAAATATCCAGCACAAGCTGAATGTCTACTGCACACCAGGCTTTCTTTGGAGGGGCTTGACATGGATCACCTCCTTTGATAGACACACCAGCCCACTGGGATAAGTGGCATTATTATCCTCCATCTGTGTATGGGGAAAGTTGAGTAAGGACAGATTTGGTAATGTGGGAGGTCACACAGTTTGTAAGTGACAGAGTTGGGACTTCAACCCATGCCATCTGATGCTGCAGTCTGGCTCTTGGTCACTGCTCTGTGATACCCAGGACTCCTACTCTATAAGCTGGATCCTTGACTGACAGATCTGCTGCTGCTTCTGGAGGAGGGAGTCCATTGGTCATCAATCCCCGGGGCTACAGCGGGCATATGGAGCATCTCCTGGAGTGGGGTGGACCAACCTCAACCCGTGAGATGACAGGACTGCTCAAAGTTGTTGTTACTCAAGAAATCTGTCCTTTATTACGTATTCTAGTAAGTGCCAGGTGGTTAGAACATCTTTAAGAATTAGCAACATTGTTTCTGAATGAGGAGAGAAAGAATTTTCTTCAATATGACTTTTAAAGAATTAAAAAAGGAATAGCACTGAAAGAAATAGAGAATATGCACGGGCCCCACAAGGCTCATGATCTGGGGAGTGTTTTTTTTTTTTTTTCATAGCTGATCTTAGAATAATTTCAACAGCCAACCAATCAGCAAGTCTTCACAGAGCTTTACCATGTGCTAGCTACTGAGAAACGTGAGGTGATCTCTGATTCCCAAGGAGCATTCCATCCAGTAGGATGTCTAGAATAGGAAGAAAGCTTGGCATATGGATCATGTGTGGACCCAGAATAGAAATGCAGGTGCATGATTTACTAGCTGTGTTAGCTGGACCTTGTTGTTTCTTTTTTTTCTTTTTTCTTTCTGGTAAGGTAAGGAAAATACCACCCACCTCCCAAGAGTGCTGTTGAATTTTAAAAACAACAATAACAACAAAATCTGAGGTCATATCTGTATATCTGGAGAGCATCTAGTAAATGGTTAGTAAACGGCATGTGTTACTACTCTTCGTATATTTTTGACATATATACATAAGGAGATTGCCAACTACGATGATTAAAATAGAGGTACAAACAATAATTCCATGTTCCGATCAGAGGGCCAAAAAAGGCAGGCATTTGTGTTCAAAAGCAGTTTTCTGAGAGTGACAGGGTTTGAATTAGTGCTTTTCTCAGTGGTTTCTAAAATTAAAAAATAAAAAAAATAGAAATTTCTCAGGAGTTAACAGAGCACTGGAGCCAAATACCTTTAAGTACAACTGGTCACAAGGGTTGAAGAGGTTCAACAGGTCCCTTCACTACTTGACTTCTCAGAGCCATTGAGTGATAGTTGCCTACTAACCCTCCCAGAGGAAGACCCCAGATGCAGCATCTACCGGGCACATTGGCTCTCTGTTCTTTCCTGGAGCTCGAATGACCAGGGCGGTGGAGCAAACTTGGGCAAGGGCAGGTGAATCCCTGCCTCGCAGGGATTGGGCCTCAGGGTGTGGAGCTGGGCAGCAGCTGAGCAGTATCAGCTGAGCCTTGGAAGGAGCAGAGGCAGGAGCATGGTGAGCCACTGGAGGTCAGCTGAAGGGGTCCCCTGGGGAGAAGGCTGGGGGTGGGGGACAAGATGGGGAATGAGTGGAAACAGTGTTTTTTTTTCTTTTTTCTTTTTTCTTTTTTTAAGACAGCACTTGTTTTTAAAGGAAGGTTAACTAGACAGGTCCGGATGGGCTGTGGGCAGGACAATCCATGTCCCCCCAAGCCTGAGAGGACCAGGCTCTTCCCAACCTTGGTCTGCGTGTCCTGTCCTTCAGTGACAACGCGGTTTCTGCTGTGCTTCAGCCTCATCATGGCCAAGTGTCCAGCTGTCCCAGGGTCTCAGTGTCTGTGCCGGGTCTCCAGGGCAACACCTTCCTTAACTGAATGATGGCTGTACAACGTCTGCGTTGCTCTGAGTTTGTCTTCTGCTTCAGACTGTCCCCTGAGGAACCCGGGAACTCATGGAGCCGCTCACCACGAGGTGCAGCTTCCTCCACGGCTGGCCTGTCTAAAACCACAGCCCTCGAGGAGGCTTGCGGTGCCTTTCACGTTCACACGTGTGTCACCTGGAAGGCCTCCCGGGCTGTGCAGGCAGCTGACGAGTGGGACACACAGACGAGGTGGCCTATCAGCCTGCATGGCCTTTCCCCTCTGAGTTACCAAAGAACCAAAAGCAGACGCTTTTCAGCACAAATGAGAGTTCCAAAGATAACTGAGGAAGAGCTGGTGGTCAGAGTTGACAAGGCGGAGGCCCAGGACAGTCTGGATTTCTATGGAGAGAATAGTTACCACTTTTCTGGAATCTTCTCTTTCTCCCCACCCCTTTCCATGCGCCTGGCTTGTCTTATGGGGATTATCAGGTCCATGCCTGGGAGTGACAAGATGCCTGGCAAGGTCCCCGTGTTTTCTGACTTCTTCATTCCTTCTGAGCTGGACCTGGAATGTCTCCTCCTAGGACGTGAGAATTGCAGGTCAGTTTTGCCCTGTTCAGGCATTTGGTTATTTGGTGTGTGCGTTATTATTATTATTGAAAAGCATATGGGGAATACTTCGTTTAGATTCCCTCCTTTAACAAGGGAAGGGTGAAGGGAAGGAGGTGCTCAGGACTGTGGAGAAAACACGAAGCCTGCCCCGCCCCCATCCCACAGCTGCCCGGAACGTCACATGCACTTATGGCAGCAGTGGTCAGTGACAAGGCAGTGGAAGGCAGTTCAGGTCACAAATCCAGAGCAGGAAATGTATTTTCATCTTGTTATTTATGACCCAGCCTTAAAGGAAAACAGATGGTGCTGCTTTCAGAGCTGTTTTGCTCTTGTTTCAAATGGCTAATTCCAATCAAACACGGCTGCTATTCTTAGCCCAGGCAGCTGCTGCATTGTCAGAGCTGGGCCGTTTTTACCAACGCCACCCCTCCCCCGGAGTGGCCAGAGAAGACCACAGCCACCTCGCGGCCACCATCGCGCCAGCCCTTAGGGAACCGTGTCTGTCTGCAGCCCACGCTGCCACTGCACCACACCGCTTAGGTTAGGTGGGCTGCTTTGGAGTGGGATCCCACTTCCACTCCTCTCTCCCTTGCATCAGATCCCATGGGAGGCCCGACTTCCTCTTTAAAAGCAAGGTTCATTTGGACTTGAGAGTAGAGTGACCTCTCAGCGTTTCTTTCTGGGTGGGGAAGATTGCAAAGCCAGAAAGAGAAGTCAAAGAGAGGGAAGAGAGGGGGTGGGGTGTGACAGAGGCTCCCACCATACAAAGGAAATTTCTGCTGCCTTAGTGCCCTCCCCTGGGTGGCCTCTCCTGGGTGCCCTTTCCCAGGTTCCTTCTCTCTGGGTGGCCATATCCTCCTGCTAAATTCAGGAGTCTCACTGATTAAGAAGTTCAAGAGCAAACATAGGAATTAACTGTTTTTTTTTTTTAAGTCAATTTTTTATAACAAAGTTATACATGCACATAATTTTAAAAATTATACATTTTTAAAATTTTATTTGTTCTTCTTAGTTATACATGATAGTAGAATCATTTTGATATAATCACACAAGCATGGAGTGTATCTTATTCAAATTAGGATCCCAGTCTTGTGGATGTACATGGTGGTAGGATTCGCTGTGGTGTATTCGCATATGTACATAGGAAACTTATGTCAGAGTCATTCCACTGTTCTTCCCTTTCCCTCTCTCTCTCCCTTCCCTTCATTCCTGTTTGTCTCATCCACTGAACTTTCATTCTCCACCCCCCCACCCCTTATTGTGAGTCAGCATCCACATATCAGAGAGAACATTTTTTTTTTTTTTTTTTGAGTTTGGCTTATTTCACTTAGTACAATAGTCTCCAGAGCCATCTAAATTACTGGCAAATGCCCTAAAGTCATTCTTCTTTATGGCTGAGTAATACTCCATTATAAATACTTCATTTCTTTATTTCTCCACGCTGTTGGGAGTCCCTTGCTTAATCCTCCCACTGACCACCCACTCCTTGCCTCCTGTCCCCTGGAAGCAATCACTTCAAATTCTTCTGGTTCTTAACTTCAGGTATTTACCTCTACATTTCCAAGAATTATGCTTATATTGTGAATTTTTAATTTACTTTTAGATATTATCTCTGACTGCTCTATTAAGGTAGTTGAGGAGTTTTCTTGTTTACATCTCCTCTCTTTCTAGCCTATTCTACCAATAGAGTTATGTTACATTTTTGGTTATCTTTTTCATAAATTTTACATTATTCTGAGTATATAAATATTTTGCATTTGCAAGCCATGTAGCATAGCAGTATTAGATTTTCTTTCTTGTACAACTTTCTGTTTTTCCTGGAGTTAATAACTGTACATTTTTTTCATTTTCTTATTTTAATGAATTTCTTTAAATTTTTTTTCAAGATATCAAAACGTGTCAAATAATATCTGTTAATAACCAAACAATCCAATAATCTATTAGTATTTCTGCTCCCTATTTTTCTCTGCTTTCTCCAGAGACTTCCTTCTTCCTTTCTCCTCTACTCTGATCTTTTTGTTAGGTATTTATTTTGAACAAGGTTTATTCTAGAACCTTCCAATACTTTTCCTCTGTACTGGCTCTTTGTTCGAGATTCCATGTCTTATTATAACACCTTAAACACAAACATATGGGGAGTAAAATTTCTGATTCCTTGGGTATTAGTTTTTTGTTCCTATAAATGATATATCTGAAGCTAGATACTTTGTTAAGCAAAAAGATTTGGTTACGTCAGTTTGGGAGGTTGAACATTCAAACAGCATGGGACTGGGATGCTGTTATTTAATGGTGTTGTTATTTAATGGTGGATAACAACAATAGACAGAGGACATGTAAGATGGAGAGACACTATTGTGGGGGGACACACTCAATCCATATCCAAGGTGAGGCAGAACATCATGGTGGAAGGGCGAGGTGGAGGACAGTTACTCCACTTGGAGAATCCACATGGGCACCCCAGATCCCCACCAGCCCAGATAAGAAGTCAGAGAGTGATTCAGGGGAGACAACAGTAATGACAGTTATGGTTTGGATTCAAGGTGTCCCCTAGGAACTCCTTTTAATGTAGCAACATTCAAAGGTGAAATGATCAGATCATGAAAGCTGTCACCTGATCAGTGGATTAATCCATTTGATGGATTAATAATTTGAAAGGATTACTGTGCAGAGTGGTAACTGCAGGCAGGTGGCATCTGGGTAGAGGAGGCAGGTCCTGGGGTGGTGGAGGTCAGGGGGTGCCATGGGAATCCTCCTGGCTACCATGATCTGGGCAGCAGTCCTCTACCTTGCCCTTCCACCGTGAGGTTCTGCCTCACCTTGGGCTCAGAGCAATGGAACCAGCTGACCATGGACTGAACCTCTGAAACCTGGGCCCAAATAAAGTTTTCCTTCCCTGGGCCATTATTGTCAGGTATTTTAATCACAGTGACAAAAAGCCAACAGACACAATGACTTCTTGCATGGCCTCAACTTTTACCAAGCTTGGGGACCAAGCTTCCAACACATGAAGCTCTTGGGGGGGACACACTCAACCCATATCCGAACCACAGTATCTTGCATTCCTGAAATTATTATTGTGTTGCCTTCACAGTGCACAATCATAATTTGACGTGGCAGAGACAATGGAAAGTAGTCAATTGGAGAGCACACCAACAGAAACTCTTCAAAAGTGAAGCATAGACCCAAACATAAAACCTAAAACGATAAAACTTCTAGAAGAAAACACAGGGAGAAATCTTTGTGATCTTGGGTTGGATACATCACTAAAAGCCTGATCCATCAAAATCTGATTCATAAATTGAATTTTCTCAAAATTAAAAGATTCCTTTCATAAGAGAAGCCACAGAAGAGCAGAAAATATTTGCAAACCACATATCTGATACAGAACCCATAAGCAGACTACATAAAGAACTTAAAACTTACTAGGAAGAGAACCCACTCACTTTAAAAGGGAAAAAAAAGACTAAAGACGTGAACCTATAGTTTTATTGAAGAAGATATATGGGTGGCAAAAAAATGTAAAAATTCTCAACGTCATTAGTTATTAGAGACAGGCAAATAGAAGCCACAGTGAGATACTACTTGACAGGTGTGCAGATGAAAAATAGAATGACCAAATTAAGTATTAGCCAGGACACGGAGCAACTGGAACTCCCACAGCTGGGGGGAGTGTCAATGCTGAAATCATGTTGGAAAGCCGTTAGGCAGTTTAAGTCAAAGTTAAACCTGTACCTGTCATAGGATCCAACCTTTCCATGACAAGATGTATTTACCTGAGAGAAGAGAAAGCACATATCCATGCAAAAGCTCGAACACAGATGTTCTTAGCAACCGTTTTATAATTAAAATCATTGAAATAACCCAAATGTCTATCAAAAAGTAAAAAGAAAAAGCAAACTAGGTACATCCATATAATATAATACCACTCAGTAAAATATTGCTACACAAAGTAATTCAGATGAATCTCGAAATAAATCCAGACAACAATGAGTTCATAATACCTGAGTTCATTTATACAAAAGTCTAGACAGTGCAAACAAATCCACAGGACAGAGAGAAAGCTGGAGGTTGCTTGGGGAGGGAAGGGGGCCAAAGGGGAGGGATCATGAAGGGTGCTGTCTCTTGATGTGATAGTCTCTTAGATGTAGCCATATGTCAAAGCTTATTATATTGTAACTTTAGGTGCAGTTTTTATGTCAATTAAGCCTTCACATTTTTTATTAAAAAAAGACATCATCCCAATATATCTAAAATTATGCATATTTTGAGAATTATTAGAATGATTTCTGATCACTGGAATAGATTAATCTATCAATATCTATTCAGGTAAGCATTGTCCTGTGTTCTAGGTGAGCAAAACACAGACCCCAACTTCACTGGCTTTTGGTCTAATGAAAGTCAAAAACAGTTGTATAAAGAAAAGAATAATAATATAGAACACCTACTGAATCTGTTCTATGTGCCAGGTGTTTTGAAAATATAGCCCCCTTTTCAGGGTAAAGATAGAATATTTATTTTTTTCCTGCTTAGTACAGTTTTACATAAAGAGCTTCTTGTAAATACTTGAGAGACTTTTCACCCAAAGGAGGTATTTTTTAAGGCTTTTTATTAGTGCACCACAGTTACACATAACATTGGGGTTCCTTTTGACATCCTCATGCCTGCGTGGCATATAATTTACTGCACTGCAGTCCCCAGTCCTTCCTCTCTCCCTCTGCCCCTCTCGCCCCTCTCTCCCCTTCCTCTGCCCACAGATCTCCCTTCTCTCTTCATAGGCTCCCCCCTCCTCTCCGCCTTTTTTGCTGTTATTTTACTGATGAGTAAACTGGGGCACAGACAAGTAAATTCCTCACCCAGCGTCCCTCTGTAGGGGGCAGTGCCCCCAGGAACAATGACATTGTTCAATGTTGTGATGCAGTTACAGGAGGGCTCCACCTGGGTGGGCTGGGAGCAGCTGGGAAAGGTGCTTTGGGAAGCCTCCCTGGAGCTGAGATTAGGTGCAAGAGGGCAAAGCCCAGGCAGTGGGCACGTGAGTGGCTTTGACCCTCTGTCCTTATCCAGGCTCACCCTCCATTTCTGTGTTCTTTCATCTCTTTCTTTCCAGTGGACAGAGATGGGGAACCATGCATGCCTGTTACTCTTGACAACCACAGAGCAGAAGGAGGCTCTGGGTCTGCAAAGCAAGCCTGCCTCCCTTTCTGATGGCACCTGGAAGGCTCCCCTGGAGCTGGCACAGAGCTGAGGCCACTGCCAACGACAGGATTCCATTGTCAAGCTCGAGGGTTTTCCTACTTTTTAAGAGACTCCTATTAAGTCTGGGGAGTCCTGCAGCTGCTGAGAGCCATGACAAAATCCATTTTTTTTCTTTGAGGAGACCACGTATGTGATTATGATATTGTCATACCGTCCTTCAAAGAACCAGTCTGCGATTGCGCCTTTCCACATCAAGAAGGGAGATTAAACCCATATTTGCAATTGCAAAAGGCCACACTGCTCCCTCTTCAACTCCCCAAATCTCCAACCAAAACATATTGCGGAATTAAAATTTAGACTAATTGGCAATTAGCAATGGTCATAAAGAGTGCAGGGTACTATTGTAAAGCCTGTGTAACCCTCTGATATTATTATAATTGTTTTAAAGGAAAAACTGGATTAGAGATGAGCCATGACGACATGAAGGACACTCAGCGTTCTGCAGCTCAGGGGCCTCACTAATCTTTAGGTCCCTGAAAGGTATATTGTTAATACTACATGACAGATAAATTATATCTTGAACCCCAAGAAATGCCTAGAGGGAAATCAAACACCGCTGTCAGCAGACAGACCTTTTATGATTTTCCCAGGATGCTGCTGTTTGCAGAAACACATCTCTCAGCCTCCCTGAACCACATACGTCACCCAGCCAGAAACGGTGGCTGACAAATTCTTCATTTACATGTGACTGAGATAAAAGCAAACAGGCCACATTCAGTTAAAGGCAGAAAAGTGACATATGTGGCCACTGCTTCTTTGCCCCAAATGGGAAGTCCCTTAGCCATTTATTTATTTATTTATTTATTATTCCTTGTTGTTCTGCCAGGGCACTGAAGACATATGTCACTTTTCCACCTTAACGGGGCATTTTCTAGTTTGTTTGGATTTATGTCACAAGCGTAATGAGATTTAAATGGAATTTTTGTATGTGAATAATATGGAGCATTAATGCAAAAACTTTCCTTTGCGGTGTTGCTGGCGTGATTTGCATAAGGGTTTTTAAATATGAAAGAAGAATATTGGAGTTCTTATAAATCACAAGTCAGGAGCTAGTGGAGCCACCACGGAAGGAGCAGATCAGATTATCTAAGTAACTACAGTTTCTGAAAAAAAGGTCACATTTTCAGATTTATGAGTGTTGCCTGCATAGGAGCAGCAAAGGGGTGCTGGCTGAGCCTGAGCCAGGGAGCTGATTGGAACTCGGCACCCTCATGGAACATTCCAGCTCTCCACCTCACCAGACTGCCTCACGCACATATTGGACCACCCTGGACCTGTTCCCCGCTGTGCTGTTTAGGCAGGTTTTTAGGGAAAATACCCAAGGAAGAATCAGTGTGGGCCATTTGCTTGCTTGTGGCCGAGACACAGCTTTCTCTGACTTTTCAAATAACTCAGCGCATCTAATTCTGAGACCCTGTTGTACACACAGGAGTAGGGGGAACACTTCACGTTCCTGTTCCTCTTCTGGCTCAGGGACATTCTAAGGACCCTGTCACTTGCTGGAACACCCTGGGGCGTGGAGGTGGCCTTACCTGCTTTGAGTCACTTCAGGTTGCCGCTACCTGATATTTAACCCAGGAACAAAAGGAGGAAGCCGGACCTGTCCTTGGGGGGCTGGTAACTGTCTCCCCAAATCTCTCTCCTTGCCCTTATCCCATGTCTGGGCCCTGTCACCCTGCTCAGGGAAGCCAGCACAGCATGCTGCAGTTGACCTGATGATTGGGCAAGGCACAGCCCAGAAAATCTTTGGGAGTGTCCCCTAGCGGCTCAGTCTCCTGCACCTAATCACGCCAATGCAGTTGGGGTATAGGGTGGCCTGGGGCCACTTGCTAGATGTCTGTGCCCTCCCGAAGCTCACAGGGAAATGAGATTGTGATTTCATTCTTGGAGGAAAACAGAGTCCCCGATAGGAAGCAGCATGACTTCGCTGTCTCCCTGGGAAACAGGAGTTAATAGGGAGACACATGACCTACCAGTCAGTTTCCGAGGGGCTGTGTCAGGCAGCTCTGTGGGAAGAAGGATTGCGTGCCCAAGGCTACCCGCAGACCAGGACCTGAGTTTCAGGGTGTTTAGGGGGAGACAGATCTGAAGTAGGGTCCCTGACAGAGTTGTCAAGACCAAGTTGTCAGTTATCCTAAGACTTCCCCTAATTAAAAATTTGATATTTTGTCCATCATAAATTTCTTTGCCTCCGTTTTGACTTTTGGAAAACCATATAAATTTTGTACCAGAAGTGAGCATCTTATTCAACCCCGAGCCTGGCCCTGAATTTGACCTGGCCCATTTGATTTCTGGATAAAGAAACTGAGGCACAGGGTACAACAGAACTTGCCCAAGGTGACACAGATTAGTGGGAATGTGAATTAAAGTTCATTTTCAGCCTGGGGTGTTATTATGTTTATTTGTTTTTTCTTCCAACCTCATCATAAAGCATCTTCACCTGCCACATTTTTTTTTTTTTAAATGGGAGAAAGCATTCCTAGGAGACTAGGGAAAGTTTCCCTCTCATCAGCTTTGAGGCCTGTACTGAGGGTGAGGAGGGAGCTAGGTGCAAGGACAGATGTGCCGGGAGGAGAGAGCTGGAGCCGGCTTTCTCCATAGCTACAGGTTATCTCCTCCACGTCAGGTCAAGCAGAATCTCTAAATGGTGGCTTCTTCAGATTTATAGCTGTTTTAATTTAACTCCAAGTGCTCAGAGGAACGCTTTTATTTAACTTCAATAGAGTATAGCTTTATTAAAGTCAAATAAGAAATAGAAAAAAAGATGAACCCAGAGAAAATATGCCAATGGAAATGCTTATTTGAGAAATGTCCAGATATTACATGTCTTTCATTTTAATTTATTTCTTAAGCATTGAATGAAATTTTAGGCCCACCTGAGAAGCAAAATAAGATTAGTCTACTGAACAATAGGTAACCAGGTTAAAAAAAAAAAAGACAGCAAAATTTGCAGAGATAAAAGTTTAATTATGTCCTAGTTGCTTGCTGAGATCTGGAAATCAATGTAGTTATTTCAATATAATTCTTGGTGGGCTATCAAATGACATGAGGGATCTTTGTACCCTTTCTGTTAAAATATAGCCACCATAAAATAATTAACAATAATGGAGTTGACATTAGATTAATGTAGCTAACCTCAGGTTGGTAGTGGAATTGCGTTTTGAATGAAACAGAAAAAAAAAAATTAAGAGCAGACCTCTGTGTGAAGGAAATAGTGGGAACGTGGCTGGAACTCTGAAGAGTTATATCCTTTGTCTTGGCGTGGAATAAAATTCTGCAGAACCTGCTTAAGACTTCCCTTCAGGAAATCCCTGATTGAGTGATCACCTTTACATATTTATATTTATTTTATATATTTTATAATTATATATATTTAGAACATTGCCAAAATCACTTGGCATGATTTTCTCTTTTCTTAAAGAGGAAGTTGGAATGGCGGGGGTCATGGGAGATTGAGATACACATGAATTCCTTTTGGGCCACTCAGCAGCTCTGTTGGCTGAGCCTTAGAATTTTCTTGTATAGAATTGTGAAAACAGTAACACCAATTTAGCTATCGTACAATGTTTTTGTACAGAATAAACTCCTGAAGTTTTTTTTTCTCTCTCTCTGTATACATGTGTGCGTGAATTTCCCATCTATATTCTCCATATATATCCATATGTATGTTTACATATATTATTAAAGATGAATATTTTAGTAGATTTTTCAAAGTTAAAAAAAATCAGTGGAACTATTTGTTAGTTAACCCACAAATTCTGGTACCTATTGTGTAGCTGGGTTCATGAAACTGAGAGAAAATTTTATTGAAAGGGAGTGAAAAACAGCTTTTGTACCTTTCTGTCTGTGCTTGGGATAGTTCATCACAGGAGTGACACTCTGGGCATTCAGCTGGTCAGCAGGTCTCAGTATTCAATTTTCTTATTTTATTCCCATGAAAATACCAGTTATTTCCACCAATATTCTCCTGCTATCTGACTTGTAATTTCACACTTTGTTTTCTGAACTTCGTGAAATCAGATGTCATTGTAGCCATCCTGGAACCAGTTGCTTTAGTTTTAATGCCTGAAAAGGTTCTTAGGGATCTAAAAGTGTTGTGGATATCAGATTGGAAATTTCGTGCTCTGATTCCATTGCTTGGAGATCATTTGGACTTTTGGTTTCAGCAAATGTCTGGATTTAACTTTTTATGTGTCATTATTAACTTGATTAAGTCACTTAAACGTGTATCATTTGATAAATAAGAGGGAACCTTCCATATTTAAAAAGAAAACAATAATAAAATCTGAGGCTAGGAATATGGAACCAACAGATATCTAAGATACTTTTAAACCATTGGTCCCTGATTGATTCATAGATGTTACAAACATTTATTGAGAACCCACTATGATTTCAAGCACTTTGTTAGGTGATGGGCTGCATTTATAGTAAAAATCAAAGACACAGTCTCTGTCCTTATACAGCATTCAGTATAGGAGAGATATTTTAACCAAAGAATCACATAAATGAACCTAAAATACTAACTATTCTTAGTAATGCAAGGGGCAGGTCCATGGTGATTTAAGAATATATTATAAGGAATTGATCTATAAACATGGATGCTGAGAAAGTCTCCTTGAAGACATAAGAACTGAGATCTGAGAAAAGATTTGTAATTACAAAATGAAAGGAGGGCAAAGAAAGTGGGCAGGTGGAGAGGGATTCCTGGTCCAGCAAGTACCAAGGCCCTGCACAGAGGGAGCCTGTGGTAGTAGAGGACCTGAGAGAAGCCTCCTGTTGGCTGGAGGCCACTCCAAGATGACCATGTGGGGTAGACAGAAGCCAGACCATGTGGGTTTGGGTAGCCATATTGAGAATTTTTGACTTGATTTAAGAGCAAGGAGAATCGCTGGAAGCCAGCCTATAAATGGAAAGGTGTAATATGAAATCCTGACCAAACAGCTTTCAGGATTTAACCTCCCACCGAGCAGTTCTAATATCTGAAGGATGAATTGTGCTGGCTGTTTTAGAAGGAAAAGCTGTCTCTCTAATAGCTACTTCAAAACCTTTCCCCTTTGACTGCTACAGAGCCTTTGTTGTTAAAAACAGAAGGAAAGCTAACAGTGGAGAAAACATAAAATAAAAAA